CAGAGGAGCTGGTTGTGAACTGAGCTTCAGAGAAACACAACATACTGATATTCACTGTGAAGCTTTGAGTGGAAAAATCAGAAAGAAACAGCATGTGGAGCCTGGAATAATGGGAGCTTCCATCTTTAAAGGACTGAAGAGGAAGAAGTTTACAAGAACAGTTTAAAACATCAACTGATTGAATCCATGAATCTGAAAACGTGTTTCTGAGTGAAAGAGAGACATGTACAGTCAGAGTGTTTATCTAACAGGAGGACACTCTTTACACTCCACTCAGCACAGAGTCACTGAGGAATCAGGAAACCAGAGGTTAAATCCAGGATAAAGAGTTTCAGTGAATGTGGTTTTCAGGGTGTGCAGGTGGATCAGAGTGTCAGAGAAGGCTCTGTAGAAGGACAGAGTGCCAGCAGGACAGTCCACATACACTGCTACTCTGTTAGAGACAGAGGAAGAAGAGTTGATGGATATTGCTTTGTTGTTGTGCCTGACAGAATCAGGACCATCATCAGTGCAGTACAGACACCAGGACTGATCATTCCATCCAAAGATACACGCTTTACTGTTTCCTTTCCTTCTGACTCTTCTGTAAGTGACTGATATGAGAACCGTTCCTTTCCACTCGACCTCCCAATAACAGCGACCAGTCAGACCATTTCTACACAGCAGCTGAGTAAGTCGATCAAATCTGTCTGGATGATCAGGATATGATTGAACCTCCTCCACATGTGTCATCTTCCTGTCATTGTCAGACAGTTGGAGGCTTGTGTGAACTGTGTCTGTGTCGATTGTGAGTTTGCAGGAATCTGATGAGAGAACAAACACAATCCAGCTGCAGTTATTGATCCATCATCTGTTCATTGATCGACACTTTGATGATGACTCCTGACATCAGTGATGTGAATGAGTGATGTGACAGTTTGAAGACAGTTGAATGTGTGCTGCTTTGTTTTCATGAATCACATTAAAAACACACTTACACTTCCTCAGACCTGGTGTCAACCATTGGACTCCAGCAGGCTCCACCCTGAAAGGAGGAGGGGGGTCAGACCAGCACAGTCTCTGTCAGCATGCACACATGGACATTACGTCGCTCTCATACACGTACCGTTAGACATTGATAAAGAAATAGTCCAACATTTTCACAAATTAACTTCAATCATACATGGATCAAACTGCTGATGATTTGGACTGATCCTGGATCTGTTAGTCCTTTGAAGGACTTGCCAAACTCTTCCGTGGTCATCATAATCCTTTGTCTCACTTTACTGATTACCTACAGAAAGTTACTCCTTCAGTCAGCAAGGAATAATCTACATTGCGTATGAGCACCACTTTTTAGATAAATGTGGGACTTACTGCTCCTTCCGGGAAACTTTTGCAGAGCTCTGTGAGAGAGGTTCCTTTAAAATCAACTGATATTATAGTTATTTAAGAAGTGCCACTTAGTGGTAACTAAGCAGAATGTCTTTTTTGTAGAGGAAGTGGTCTACAGGAAGTAGGAAGAAGCTCTTTAGCTGCTACAGTAAAAACATTTGTAATCTGATGGCAATCTCTGCAATCCTGCTGTTAAAGTCCACAATATCGGCTTCATCCGTAAGTTCCTATACATTTAATGTGTATTAGTAAGTTTTGACATTATTTTGAGTTAAATCACATGGAGGCAGATAGATGCTTGTATTTTTTTCAGCAGATGCTTAATTTGTGGTCATGTATCTTTCATTAGAGCAATGTTAGAGAATTTATTTTCATCATTAAATACTGCCAAACACAGCAAGCAGCCTGTTTCTTGGAGGATGAAGTGCTGGGAATAAAGAATGTTAAGCTAGCTGTATAGCTGAAATTACGTTGCCTGCAACAAACTTTAGTGAGGACAGCATAGAGCTATAGCCAGTTAAAATTATTGTTCCTGGGCAAGTTCTTGGTGTCCCAATTTGTAAGTATCTCTCAATTTTCTTGACAAAGTGGACTAATGTTTCTTTTGTGAGCATAGGAAAAAGGGAAAGAAATGTTGCCAGCTCCTCCTCTTCTATTAGACATTCTCCTCATACCTGAGAGTGTCTAGTCTCCAGGATGGATCCATCAATCCTGCCGACAGCAGTTTTATTCCTGAGTCTCCAGGTTGATTGTAGCTCAGATCTAGCTCTTTCAGATGAGAGGGATTGGAACTCAGAGCTAAAGCCAGAGAAGTACAGCCTTCCTCTGTGATCAGACAGCCTGACAGACTGAAAATACACCAAACAACAATTCATCAATAGAAAGTTCTCTTATGTACTTCATTTTTTTCTCATTTTCTTCAGTTGTCTTTTGCTTTATTTATAGTGAGACAACTACAACTATAATATTTGTTGTCTCTCTTTTTATTTTAATAATCCACATCTACTTTTGAAAACTCTAGGAACTATATGTAGTTCGTGCATAACTGTACATTTCTATTTCAAATTGATATCAAGGAAACAAAGGGCTTGTTTTTTTCTAAAATCATACCAATAACAATACAGATGCCTTTAACTAATGAGTGCAGTTCATAGATCAATCTGGCCTAATATTAGGAACACCTACACATATATTTGGTTGTTTCCCTGGCATACAGCTTGAGGTCATCGATTTGGAAGACGTGGTCATTAACTGCTCCATTCCATGACTGGCATCTGTAGCCAGCTGTTGATGGCAGAATGCAGAACAGAAGTGGCTGCCATGCTCATATTGTTCACGTGCTGGTAGCAACACACCCTGGAGGTTTCATGTGAAAACAGCTGATTTATTCTACTGGCTTCTTACTCTCTGATATGCTTCTTTAGGCAGTTAGCTAATCATCAGGTAAGGCCTTATTGCTT